GGTGGCTGTTTTATTTCATTGTAAACTGTTTTCTGATGTGTAAACATGCGTGTTGAATATTTTAAGACAAATCGGTCTAACGGGCCTTCGGACTATCGGATCTTCGGACTTTAGGGCCTTCGGACTATTGGGCCTTCGGAATATAAGGCGGTCACCTGACAGAAATACCATATATAGTAACCACGAATTTATGAGATCTTGAGGACAATGACGCGTATCACAATACAAATACATAGTACTACTATAAATGAATTGGTTTGTTGTCTTTAAAGAAAACATATATTAAAAATCAAAATGAAAATCAAATTAAAGTATTTTTGTAGAAAGGACCTTACATAACCCCCAAGTGATATGTGATTTATGAAACGAGGCCAAGAACAGCGAGTCTATGCCGTGGTGAAAAGAAAACTGTCTGCCAATCAGCCACTAAGTTTCGAAATGTGTGACACAATCGTAATGCTTCGGATGTTTTGGTTACTGCCGTGTTACTTTGTCTATACCCTTGGCCTAAAATGGTTGTTGAGCATCGATCTTGGCTCCGTGGTCAGTGTACAAGGTAATACTTACTGTATGAGATATATTTACAAATTACATAACGTTGTCAACTTTTTGTAGGATAGGATCCTGTGTTTGTCATCTATTCCGTTTGTGTATAACATACCGCATTCAAATGTCATCGTTCTTCGCTTAAACGGAGAGGTGTATTCTAATATTAGCAAAACAGGAGGTGTATAGCAATTTGTAAACGGTTTATTCACTATCTTTTCATTTTGTTTAACTCTTTATTAGGGTAATTATCAGTCCTATAGATATTGCTTACTTCAGTGTAGTAATTGGGTCAATCTTTTACTCAATAAATAATATTGAGGAAAGTTATGCAGGTAAGACAATTATAACGTATTGACAATTAGTTACAGTACACAATTAAAATTGATCTCAGAGGAATGTCATTGTTTCCAAACACGATTCTTTTACAAAAAACTTTAAAATGAGAATATGAATCTATGACACATACAAAATGTATGTAGACGGTTAAGTATATCTCTACCTAGGTAGTGTAACCTGATTTAGGTTCATAGCTTCACTGACGAAGGGCGAAACAGCTGTATGATGTAGCATCACTGACGAGTCCTAGAAGGACGGTACAGCTGTATGATGTAGCATCACTGACGAGTCCTAGAAGGACGAAACAGCTGTATGATGTAGCATCACTGACAAGTCCTAGAAGGACGAAACAGCTGTATGATGTAGTATCACTGACGAGTCATCACTAGAAGGACGAACAGCTGTATGATGTAGCATCACTGACGAGTCCTAGAAGGACGAAACAGCTGTATGATGTAGCATCACTGACGAGTCCTAGAAGGACGGTACAGCTGTATGATGTAGCATCACTGACGAGTCCTAGAAGGACGGTACAGCTGTATGATGTAGCATCACTGACGAGTCCTAGAAGGACGAAACAGCTGTATGATGTAGCATCACTGACAAGTCCTAGAAGGACGAAACAGCTGTATGATGTAGTATCACTGACGAGTCTTAGAAGGACGAGACAGCTGTATGATGTAGCATCACTGACGAGTCCTAGAAGGACGAAACAGCTGTATGACGTATCATCACTGACGAGTCCTAGAAGGACGAAACAGCTGTATGACGTATCATCACTGACGAGTCCTAGAAGGACGAAACAGCTGTATGATGTAGCATCACTGACGAGTCCTAGAATCACTGACGAGTCCTAGAAGGACGAAACAGCTGTATGAGGTAGCATCACTGACGAGTCCTAGAAGGACGAAACAGCTGTATGATGTAGCATCACTGACGAGTCCTAGAATCACTGACGAGTCCTAGAAGGACGAAACAGCTGTATGATGTAGCATCACTGACGAGTCCTAGAAGGACGAAACAGCTGTATGATGTAGTATCACTGACGAGTCCTAGAATCACTGACGAGTCCTATAAGGACGAAACAGCTGTATGATGTATGATGTATGATGCAGTTTAATTCATTGTTTTACTCTTCTGTATCTGACTCTTAATTTGTATTACCAGGTGTTATTCACTTGTGCTTTGTTGTATAATCTATGTATTTGTTAGTCAGACTGATGTCTTATGTTGGAAGATTTGACCATGTAGCATTAATCATAGACGTAAAGGTGTAAAGTGTAAAAATACAAAGATGTAAAGTTATAAAATGCAAAGATGTAAAGTGTTAAGAAGGTGTAAAGTTGTAAAGGTGTACAGTGTAAAGTTGTACAGTGTTAAGGTGTACAGTGTTAAGGTGTACAGTGTTAAGGTGTACAGTGGAAAGGTGTACATTGTTAAGATGTACAGTGTTAAGGTGTACAGTGTTAAGGTGTACAGTGTAAAAGTGTACATTGTTAAGATGTACAGTGTTAAGGTGTACAGTGTTAAGGTGTACAGTGTAAAGGTGTACATTGTTAAGGTGTACAGCGTTAAGGAGTACAGTGTTAAGGTGTACAGTGTTAAGGTGTACAGTGTAAAGGTGTACAGTATTAAGGTGTACAGCGTTAAGGAGTACAGCTTTAAGGTGTACAGTGTTAAGATGTACAGTGGTAAAGTGTACAGTGTAAAGATGTACAGTGTTAAAGTGTACAGTGTAAAGATGTACAGTGTTAAAGTGTAAAGGTGTACAGTGTTAAGCTGTACAGTGTAAAGGTGTACAGTGTTAAGGTGTAAAGGTGCAAAGTGTTAAGGTGTAAAGTTTTACAATGTTAAGGTGTACAGTGTTAAGGTGTACAGTGTTCTTTGTGATTTCTGACCGCACACTATATCCCATATGTGTTATAATGATAATAATTCCATCATGCCTAAATGCGGTTTGTGATATTTTGGATGTTTACCCAACATTTTCATTCTTAACGTTTTATTAGATTTTGAAATGATCATTCAAAAACAAGAGGACGCACAAACAAAATATTCCGATAACACAACAAACATGAAATCCTAAAGCAAGTCTTTGTCTTTCTTAAAGTCAAAACTTGGAACAATATCCTGGAAAATATGGTCAGAACACCAGTTGAAATTTCCTTTGTAAACAGACCTGAAAAACACTGAGGTATAAAACAGAAGTAAGACCTGATATATAATATCTATTTACAACACAAAGCGTACAAACTAGTACTCAAAATGGTTGTTTTTCCTATAAAATGGAAATCTGGAAAGGTAATTTCTTTGTATAAATCTGGAAGCACCTCGGAGATTTGCAATTACAGACCTAATTCTGTATTATCCATTTTATCCAAAATATTAGAGCGACATGTCCATGGCTCTTTCTGTTAATGTTTAAATACACATCATCTCTTTGTATCTTTATCTCTTCTGATGAAAGACAAAAAGGCCGTTATAGTGGACGTAAAACCCGTTAAATAAAAACAAATATCATTACGGTAAGGTTTTCGTGAAAAGAATTGTTGTTAACCAGCTTATACATAGACAACAGATATTAAAAATGTCTTGTATACGGTGTTATTTTCTTAGATTTTAAAAAAGTTTTTGATTTAGTAAAACATACTGTGTTACTTGAGAAGATCAAAATTATACAAATGTGATTTAAATTCCATTACATGGTTTGATTCATACCTCAATATCAGGTCATAAAAAGTAATTATTGCAGGATGTATATCAACTAACATGAAAATTACCTATGGGGTGCCTCAAGTATTAATTCTGGGTCCCTTGATGTTTTTACTTTCCGTATAAAAAATCTTGAATATGTGGATGCGTGGTGTAATGAAAATATAATGATAGCTGACACACATGTAATTCAGTTTATCCTTATTGCTTCCAAACAGAGACTTGGGAGACTTAATGTCTCAATCTTAAACTAAGGGAGGAAACTCTAAGATAAAATTTAAGGGAGGAAACTCTGTCTAAGGTAAACTGTAAGGGAGGAAATTCTGTCAAAGGTAAAATGTAAGGGAGGAAACTCTGTCTAAGGAAAAATGTAAGGGAGGAAACTCTGTCTAAGGTAAAATGTAAGGGAGGAAAAACTGTCTAAGGTAAAATGTAAGGGAGGAAACTCTGTCTTAGGTAAAATGTAAGGGAGGAAACTCTAAGGTAAAATTTAAGGGAGGAAACTCTGTCTAAGATAAAATGTAAGGGAGGAATCTCTGTCTAAGGTAAAATGTAAGGGAGGAAACTCTGTCTAAGGTAAAATGTAAGGGAGGAAACTCTGTCTTAGGTAAAATGTAAGGGAAGAAACTCTAAGGTAAAATGTAAGGGAGGAAACTCTGTCTAAGATAAAATGTAAGGGAGGAAACTCTGTCTAAGGTAAAATGTAAGGGAGGAAACTCTGTCTAAGGTAAAATGTAAGGGAAGAAACTCTGTCTAAGATAAAATGTTAAAAATTACTTGATAATAGAATCGATAACGGCTTATCCTGGTCGGCGCATATTTCCTCTGTTGTTTCCACATTGAACCAAGGTTTCGGATTACTCCAGCGTACTTGCCAAATTTTACCAATAATAGGCCGGTTGAAATATTACAATGCTTGTGGGTTTTTTTTTCATTTCATGTACTGTAATACATATTATTCTTTGACCTCTGAACAATGACAATGCATTTTTCCTTTTACATGTATTGGTTTGTGTAGCTGATTCATGAAAGACGGATTGTCCTTTATTTTACGACGAAATGTCATGCTTAGTTTGTCGAACACTCGACCAACACTTCAAACCGCTGGTGTAATCGCCCAAGCATTTAAGGTGTGAAGCCACGTCCGTTGCTACCACACATATTTTTGTATGCTACTTTTCAAATATACAAGGGTACTATCTCTTATGTATAAACATCACACTTATACACATCGGTTTAATGAAAAATAAACAAATAAATAAAAATAAAATTATATAATTGTAAATTGAAGATGAAAATTTATAACAAATAAGTAGAGTACATAGAGAAAACACTGGTATACTATTAACTAGGTGGAAAGCGCGTCATGTGTCTATATGAAATTCATCAATCAGCACGCGTGTTCTGTGTCTGAAGGCAGCGGAATAGTCATTTTATGATTCTCAATGTCCGATGTAACCTCTGCCTGCTTGTATATACAACACTGAATTCTCCTGGTGACGTAATTTCCAACTGTGCTGTTCCAAATGATGGTCCGCTTCACTGTCATTTCTGTTTATCAAAGTGGTCAGTATGTAGGTTTTACATTTCCGCACAGTTACTGTATCCCGATTATAAAAGATAGGATTACAACAGATGAAAATTGTAGGGAAAATCCATCTGCAGAATTTTGTGTCATATATCCGAATAATTCATTTCTCCATGTCTAGTAAAATCTCGCAGAATTCTGAAATTCAATAAAAGCATACATTTTACTATTTTTTTATTTTCAATCTATTCCATTTGAAAGACACGAGAAACGCTATCATTTTAACGAATCCTCAAGTTTTTCAATTTCAAATAATTTCATTGCAGATAACGTTTAACTTCCCATAACACCTGTTTCTAGTCTCCTTGAATTGTTTTCAAGAATCTCTGTGTTAATGTTTTTCATATATTCCCCCTAATCTTATTGAATTGATGTTTAAATTATGACTTCGTTGACACTGGTAATTTTTGTTGTTGTTTAAATTGACATAATGTGTATAAGACTAAAAGATTGGACATCAGACAGAGCCTATTTAAAACGTTAGACACATTCAGTGTACCTTCCCATCTGATCTACCATCATGAATTGGACATCAGACAGAGCCTATTTGAACAGTTAAGACACATTCTCCGTACCTTCCCAATTGATCTGCCCATCATGGTCCGTATCTGCTTCGTTAACCATATCGTCAGCTTCTTCGTCGTCAAGCTTTTCTCCGAGAGTTACCATGATATGCCGCAGGGCGGCAGCACTGATCGTCCCCGTACCTTCCTTGTCAATCATCATAAATGCACTCCGTAACACTGCTTCCTTGTCTTGTTCCCTACTCAGTCTCTTTCCACATACACTTAGAAATGACTTCATATCTAGTGTGCCTGTCACTTCACTAGCTACAACAGGAGGGGAAAAACACTTCAAACACCTGTACAGTCTGCACACCAAAAATAACATAACGATGTTCTACTAATATACAACAAGGGCAGTCTCCAAATCAAATAAAATCATAGAAGTCTCCAAACCAAATGAAATTATTGAAGGATCCAAACCAAATGAAATTATTGAAGGATCCAAACCAAATGAAATTATTGAAGGATCCAAACCAAATGAAATTATTGAAGGATCCAAACCAAATGAAATTATTGAAGGATCCAAACCAAACGAAATTATAGAAGTCTCCAAAGCATGCCTTATCGAGAAGTTTCCAAACCATTTATTAAAACATCCACCCCTTAGTTCGTCTGATCTGACCTACTGCTAAAGGACAACTGGAAAAGTCTTCAAGCAATGTTTTTGAAAACCATTTTATTTAACACAGAAACATTTATTTATGATTATATTGGCAGACTGCCAAGGTCCTTCAAATATTTTACTATGTAGTTACATAAATAATTGTCATCTATAATCACTGTTGATAAATACAATAGATACAAATACTATTTACAGACCTAGCCATCACTACACACACAACTACCAACACTCAATGTATAGAATGCTCACTGATGCTATTTTCTCTTTAACACAGGTATGGATTAACACACATATACACTGGCCTACAATTGTTCACACAACCACAGATTCACACACCGAAATATGCACTAATCACACGTTATATATTAATAAGGTGCATGTACTCCTTTAAGGGAAAGTACGTACAATCTGGGCCTGTATAATCATACTATAGTTTAACCATATGTGCAGCTGGTACCTGCATCTTACACACGCTCACAGGTCATGCACACATACAGATTCTCAAAGCACATATACAGCTGATTCAGTATATAAACATTATACAGTTATCTGTAGGTGCCACGAAGTTCATTTCTAATCTTTTTTGTTTTATTTATATAATGTATTGACACGTGCTTAAAGACAAATACTAACATCGCTAATGTTTTGGTATACTAACATCGCAAATCGTTATATATTTGTGGTGTACATTACAGACTGACTTAGCTATACCTTTAACTGCTGATTTTGGTGGTTTGGGTTCCTCCGATTCCCCTTCCGGTACTTCAGTAGGTTCTCCGTCCTCACCTTCCGCCCCAGCTGGCTTTGGGTCAGGTGGAGGCACGGCTATATAAAAATCGTCAAATTCATCATCATTATTACAACGGCCCGTCAACACATAAAAGGTCATTTGGGCCAAAATTCATCATTAAGTCTAGTTGTATATATTTTTAAGAAAGAAAAACGCACTTTTTAATATGTTTTTAATGTTCAAGTTATGACGTCACAATCGATTTCTTACTGACATGGCAATATTTCAGCGCATTATTTTTCCTCTCGGACTAAGACAACCTCAATAACATGCTTTAACAGTATAACAGTAGTGACATATACATGGCCGATAGATATACTTATATTACATGTCACAGAGACAGATGTCTACAAGGGGTGAAACAGCTAAAGGGGTAATTCTACAGACTATGTTACTGTGTAAAGGGGAATAACCAGTGTCAATATGATTTACTTTTCATCAGACCATGTAAAGGCCTGTGACTATGACCACAATACACGGACAGTTTACCAATAAATGACTGTATATAATTCTCTGTTATGTGTCGGGATTTAAGATAGGGATATTCCACCCGAGAGGTCACAAAATGCCGTAACATCCGAGGCTTTTACCACATTTTGTGACCTCTAGGTTGAAAAACCCACCCTTCAACCCGACATATGAAAGAGGATTTCTATCTCAAATTTTAGAAAAATAAGTTTCAGATGTCTACACTGATCTCCATAGGACATCATAAAACACGATAGTCATATTTTCTATTATCCAACTGACAAATCGACAAAGAAAAAGAATTCTCCGTTCCTGGATTTGGAAAACGAAGTTTGCCTTAAAAATTAAAACAGAATATAAACAGTCACTGTAAAGATCTATTTGAGGCGATGATGTCAATCGGTAAGGGACACGTCACATTTCCACGCGCGCGTATCTACGTGGATTGATGTGTGATAGAAGAACTGAACCTGGGTGCATTGACCTGGACAGACCAGTGTTACACAGGTAGAAATTAAATTAGTTAGTACTTAAACCAGTATTCTCTCATTTCTACCGGTGTAATACTGGTCTGTCCAGGACAATACACTCAGGTTCGCTGTGCTTGTATGACGTATCCACCCATGATATACAGACAAGCGCGTGCAGAAGTGTGACGCGTCGCTTACCTATTGACGTCATCGCCTCAAATAGTTATTTGCAGCGATTATTCATATTTTGTATTTAAACTCATATTAAAAATCAATATTCTAAACTCTCAGTTTTCATTTGTTGAATTTTTGTACTAGAAATAAGTCAACCATTTATACTGAACGTATGTGTACAGCAAGGGAAGGCAGAAATAAGACCAGATTGTTGGTACCTTATAAGAGGATCCGACTACACATTGGAGATGTGACAGCGAACTACAGAACAGGCACATTTGATAAATTTGTGGTGAATACCTACATAAATTCTTAAATGGTGTGCATTACAAAGCTAATATGAATATTGAATTCATAGTTTTCTTTCAAGATCTCAATTTAACCAGAAAATTCTAAGTATTTTCATACAAAGCTTTCAAATGATTTTAGCTTTAGCAAGAGATGGGATGAAGTTAGGTTGTTTAAAATACTTGGTAGATATAGATAGCCGAAGACCAATACAACAACGATAATTGATTGTAGTAGTATGGTCTCTCACGATTTGATATGGCGTTGATCTGTAGAATCATGTCCTCCAGTTCTGCCTCTGTGGGCTGCTCTCCGACAGCTCGTAACAACGTGCCCAGTTCCTTCAAAGGAATGGTTCCTTTGTCTTCAAGATCGAACATACTGAATGCTTCTTTGATTTCTGAAAAGAGAAAATGTAAAATATTGTACACTCACAGAAGAATGGTTGCTGTGTTCCTTAAAAACAAATACGTGTTAGGAAGACCCGCAATGACGTAATAATTCAATCACTATATTTTGTTGTACAAGTTATTGCGGAAATGTTATTTACAATCTGTCCGCGAAAATATATATATACATACCTTCTAGCTTTTCTTCATCAAGCAAGTCCGCCTGTAACATAAACAGGTAAAAATGGGAATAAATTTAAACACGTCATCTCTTGTTGTCTGTGCCAGCCAATCAAAACGTGTTGAAAGTTTAAACCTCGTGTGGTTAAACTGGTTTATTTTACAACAGTTGTGATGATTATTAAAAGCCTTGTGAGTTAAATAACATTCATTTATTGTAGTAGAAAAATTACGTTTGTTATTCCTGTAATAACACATTCCAGAAAACATCAGTTCGGTAGTCTTGTCCGGAATATAGTAGGTCAACATATAGTGATATTTTTTATGTGTTTACATTCTTCATGATTTCGATTTCTTTACCTGCATTCTGAATATTAAGAATTATGACCCCTTCAAACACTAATAGGTCCCAGGACGAGGGTACAACTGTGCTGTCAGTTTAATCTACGATACACTATATCTCTTTTCTTAATAAACATGTAAACTTGATTAGTTGTCCTGGCATGATTTCTTTTCGATACAACAGAGTCGAGAGTCCGATTACGAGATCGATTACAAAGTCAGCGCAGGATCGAAAACAAATTCAGCGCCGGATCGATTACAAAGTCAGCGCAGGTTCGGTAACAAATTCAGCGCCGGATCGATTACAAAGTCAGCGCAGGTTCGGTAACAAATTCAGCGCAGGATCGAAAACAAATTCAGCGCAGGATCGATAACAAAGTCAGCGCAGTATCGCTAGCAAATTCAGCGCAGGATCGAAAACAAATTCAGCGCCGGATCGATAACAAAGTCAGCGCAGTATCGATAGCAAATTCAGCGCAGGATCGATAACAAAGTCAGCGCAAGATCGGTAACAAATTCAGCGCAGGATCGAAAACAAATTCAGCGCCGGATCGATAACAAAGTCAGCGCAGTATCGATAGCAAATTCAGCGCAGGATCGAAAACAAATTCAGCGCCGGATCGATAACAAAGTCAGCGCAGTATCGATAGCAAATTCAGCGCAGGATCGAAAACAAATTCAGCGCCGGATCGATAACAAAGTCAGCGCAGTATCGATAGCAAATTCAGCGCAGGATCGAAAACAAATTCAGCGCAGGATCGATAACAAAGTCAGCGCAGTATCGATAGCAAATTCAGCGCAGGATCGAAAACAAATTCAGCGCCGGATCGATAACAAAGTCAGCGCAGTAACGATAGCAAATTCAGCGCAGGATCGAAAACAAATTCAGCGCCGGATCGATAACAAAGTCAGCGCAGGATCGATAGCAAATTCAGCGCAGGATCGAAAACAAATTCAGCGCCGGATCGATAACAAAATCAGCGCAAGATCGATAACAAAGTCAGCGCAAGATCGATAACAAAGTCAGCGCAAGATCGATAACAAAGTCAGCGCAAGATCGATAACAAAGTCAGCGCAAGATCGATAACAAAGTCAGCGCAAGATCGATAACAAAGTCAGCGCAAGATCGATAACAAAGTCAGCGCAAGATCGATAACAAAGTCAGCGCAGGATCGAAAACAAATTCAGCGCCGGATCGATAACAAATTCAGCGCCGGATCGATAACAAAGTCAGCGCAAGATCGATAACAAATTCAGCGCCGGATCGATAACAAATTCAGCGCAGTATCGATAGCAAAGTCAGCGCAAGATCGATAACAAATTCAGCGCCGGATCGATAACAAAATCAGCGCAAGATCGATAACAAAGTCAGCGCAAGATCGATAACAAAGTCAGCGCAAGATCGATAACAAAGTCAGCGCAAGATCGATAACAAAGTCAGCGCAAGATCGATAACAAAGTCAGCGCAAGATCGATAACAAAGTCAGCGCAAGATCGATTACAAAGTCAGCGCAAGATCGATAACAAAGTCAGCGCAAGATCGATAACAAAGTCAGCGCAAGATCGATAACAAAGTCAGCGCAAGATCGATAACAAAGTCAGCGCAAGATCGATAACAAAGTCAGCGCAGGATCGAAAACAAATTCAGCGCCGGATCGATAACAAATTCAGCGCAGTATCGATAACAAAGTCAGCGCAGGATCGATAGCAAATTCAGCGCAGGATCGAAAACAAATTCAGCGCAGGATCGAAAACAAATTCAGCGCCGGATCGATAACAAATTCAGCGCAGTATCGATAACAAAGTCAGCGCAAGATCGGTAACAAATCCAGTCATTAACGTCAATATAAAAATTGCCATAGTTAAATGCACATTAAGAATAGTTAAATGACATATATATGTAAAATAGTATAAATTGTATATGTTTAGTCTAGGTCTAATCAGGAAAAGGAGAAAGATCGGTTGACTATTTCCGAAAATCAATATTCTTCACTTCCTATTTAAAGCAATCAAGTAAAACGTTAAACTATCAGAAGTTTGACCCAGGTGATTAAAATCCCTCTGTTCTTCTTTAAGTAGACTTGCGTTGACATTTGTATCGGATCCGGTGACACACGGGACTGTAGAATTAAGAATTATGTAATCTTTTCGCTTTTCACGTCTAATACATGGTGACGATCAAATTACAACATACAGCTGTTTAATTGTACAAATACAATGTACATTTCGTACCATAGACAGGCTTGTAATGAAATAACCTTATACAATATACATATACGGTTCCTGCCAATTACGATATATATAATAACTCTATCTATAGAGAGTATATTGACGGACTTCTTAAAGGAACCCTACAATTACTATGTACATCGTTTACACGGTTCACTGAGTTCTATTATATATTGAAGACAAGATATGTTGTTTTCTTTCCGTTATAATCACGGATAGGCCATGTATCGAAGCATGTTAGCTAACGTTTACGTATAGTAAGACTGTTGTTGGATTTGATGAGTATACAAATAACACGAAACAGTCACCGTATATTAGGAACTTATGTATATAATTGTCACGGCAGAAACGCGATCCCATAAATCGTAAAACATACTCGTTCTGTCACGTACTAAGTATGCAATTATATAATCAGTTATTCAATCCAACAAAATCTTAAAATGAAGAGGAATGTGATGTCATTGCAAACCTTTTAACAATATAATTCAGTATTATACCAAATTGTCACATGCTAATATCTTAACAGTATCAGTAGTATCACTATAAAAACATAACATTTACCTACAGTATGACCCTAAAGGTCACTCCACTACCAAACGATGACTTTACCAAACACAACAGAAGTTTGCTTCGGTAGTATGGAACGTAATATTATTGACAAAATCTTACGTTTTTTCTCATGTGTTAATCTAAATTACTATCTGTGTCCTACTTGACTATCAAACAACTGTAGCACTTCAGGTGTTTTATTCGTTAATACCTACTAATATATCTATATATTTTAAAGACTGGTCGTCATTCATACTTACATAATACTAAGCTCGATTGATATCGTCCCTCCCTTCCCCCTTACCCCATTCCCCAACCCCACCGCACCCATTCCCCTCCCCACCCCTCCCCACCCCACCCCACCCCACCCCACCCCACCCATTCCCCTCATCCTTACCCCACTCCCCACCCCCACCTCGCCCATTCCCCTCCCCATCCCCACCCCAACCACAACCATTATATTGATATATTCCATTCTGTGCAGGAGTGTCTAAATGAAAAACCACGCAAGATGGCGTTGCACAGATAATTGGATTTGTAACGGCGTGATAATGTTTGTTTTATGACTAAGAAGTTTTTTAGTTTCCATAGTAACCTATGTGTTATACACACATGTTTCAAATAAACAATAAAATGACTTCTTAAGTAATGTAAACAAATCAGACTTACCATGTTGATATTTGTGTCACGTCTCGCTGTCTAAATCCGAAGGCAGTTCTTTAAATACACATGCATATCCTTATAACATATACATTTCACAGTCTGATCAGCGGCGATGCGTGGAGTGTATACGTACGATAGATACAAGACAATAGACACAGAAGATATTTTAAATAACCTTTGTTTGTCAGTTCTGTAGAAATACCTATCATTATAGACTGTAGCTAGTATGGAAGCCGGACGGTGAAATTCTTTGAACTCTGGTAACATAAATGGTACGGTTAATACCGTATACACTGACAAATTAAAGACACCAGTTTAATCCTAACTTGAATCAAACATCATACTATTAATTTATACCGAGCACTAACGATATGATAATACATAATATACTCAACAAAACATGATAAAACAGGTGTTAAATATAGAAAAAATCATACCCACCATTGGAATCAACACCAAGGATTCCGGGAGGACAAAAGGTATGACGTCAGCCATATCAACCGACTATTGACTTTTTCTTACAGTGAGAATTAACTAAATTGCACTGATACTACAGAAAAAATGGATATGATTGCATGAATTAAAAATAATACTGATATTTCTTTGTAAAGTGTAATGATATACAGGTATGTTGATATATAAAAGCAAGTATTGAAAGGCTTGCATCAGAGAAACTTGCCGATACAGATTTAGAATTTAGAGTGTTCAGTCATACAATTAATTAAACAGCACCGTACGGCTGTATAGTATTTCTACAGAAAACTCATCATGGTCTTAATTACTTAAACCTATAGGGCGACTGAGTAAAGGGTCAACAGCCAGACGGAAAGGTGAATACTTAAACCTATGGGGCGACTGAGTAAAGGGTCAACAGCCAGACGGGAAGGTGAATACTTAAACCTATGGGACGACTGAGTAAAGGGTCAACAGCCAGACGGGAAGGTGAATACTTAAACCTATGGGACGACTGAGTAAAGGGTCAACAGCCAGACGGGAAGGTGAATACTTAAACCGATGGGGCGACTAAGTAAAGGGTCTAAGCCAGGAGCGAAGGCCACGTGTCCAGATATTCAACAATTTTGTAATTTTAGATATTGAAAAAATTCATAAAGAGGTTAAATTTTTCAAATGTAGGTCAAAGGTCACGGTAAAGGTCACATGAGGAAAAATTTTGGTTTAAACAATATTTTATTTTCAGATTTTCATTTACAACATACACATACACAAATTATAAAATTGAAAATGGATCTGGCAACAAGATTATAAATCTTATATTAAGCCATCTCCGTGAACAATTTTGGTACCGTCGAAAAGGTCTTAACACAAGGAACAAACACTCCAGATAGGATTCCTATACCTCTTATGATGCAAAAGTTATGGCCCATGTTTACATTTTTGAATTGTACTTCAAATGTCACTGTCAAGGTCATATGGTAAAATTTTTGGTAACTTTGGAAAGGTCTTGTCACAAGGAACACACATGACAAATTTGAACGTCCTACTTCTTATAGTGAAATATTTATGGGCAGAGTTGACAACAGACAAAGAAAGCGACAGCACAAGGACAATTTTCTTTCGATCCGGAGGCATAAAAAGTCTATGAACACCTCAAACTTACATGGAGCTTGGCATACACATTTTCTGACCTTAGCTACCATGTAACTTCGAACTAGTGTGTTTTAGATACCATAGTATTATAGGATTTGGCATCCTTGGGTTCCGTACGCTGCGATAACAGTGAACGCCACGCGCCTGGCGTTCAGAGTTAGTAGACAGTATTGTTATCTTTAGTAGTGTACAATCATACCCATCAATTATTGAAACCAACAGGTACTCACACTGAATACCTATAAAAATCCCAAGTAAAATGAAAAGATATTTTATATACGATAACCATTCATCAAAACAGGTTTCATTGAAAATCACTACAAATACTCGATAGGAGGTGACTTTGTTCCTCGTCTGTCATACCATTGAACTGCTCTCTTAACAAAGCACTGCGTTGGGCGTATAGCACAGACGTTCATAACTAATTACAAGGTTGGGCAATTAAAATCCGTAGCCGACAGTGACCAAACATTCCCTGCTAGATTGGTTTTATATTACTTGAATAATAAATATCACAGCCATAAAATATCCATAGGGAAACACGACGTCAGGAAAGGGCGAGGATATGAACCGTACTTATATCGGGGTCTGTGCTGACCAAATATAGAGTCATGGAAAGGTCTAGAAGTGTACACTATACAGCGTAGCAGAAAGTAAAGATTTCTGCGGCATATTATTTAACATAGTGTATGACTCTGTTGAGGCGTAAGTCTGCAGTTTTGGTGACGTTCAACGCACCAAAAAATTCGTGCGCACACCGTGTATACATCGACCGCACACACGCACTATACAATTATCTAGCGCACAACTGTGTGATAGGACCGCACATTTTTAATAGCATTTTTTTTTTATCATTTCACAGGTGTATATTTGTTAAGACAAGTCGGATTGATATATTTTAATGTTGATTTATCTTCTAACGCTCTTGTATTTTCTTTGGAAACAATTTATTTTAGGCTCCGAAATATAACATTGTACCTATATCGTGATATGGTGTTGTAGTTTAAGGACTAGCAGTACATATACCATAATAAAACGTATTGACAATTAGTAAACTTTCTAGAAAATAAAAACTTCCAAATCAAAGTAGATAGAATGTTTGGCGAACAATAATTTTACCAGTAAATAGAAGACGATTTGATAAAATAACAATAGCAAGACATGTATGTCAAAATATTAATGGAGAGATGTGTGAAACAGATCGTACAATTATTACATAAATATTCATCATTGAGTGATTACTGCAGCGTTAATTAAAATGCATATTCATCATTGTTGAAAAAATTTCAACTATCATTCGGATATTTTATGGAGACCATCCGCCGTACATGTAAACATTAGATTATTCTAATTTCAATAGAAATTAATTATGAAATAATCTGTTTGGAGAATGACTAATTAAAATACAACTTACAGATATTTTGTCCTCCGAGGACTCGTCAGTAACCTCTAGGACTCGTCAGTAACCTCTAGGAATCGTCAGTAACCTCTAGGACGAGTCAGTAACCTCTAGAACTCGTCAGTAACCTCTAGGACTCGTCAGTAACCTCTAGGACTCGTCAGTAACCTCTAGAACTCGTCAGTAACCTCTAGGACTCGTCAGTAACCTCTAGGACTCGTCAGTAACCTCTAGAACTCGTCAGTAACCTCTAGGACGAGTCAGTAACCTCTAGGACGAGTCAGTAACCTCTAGGACTCGTCAGTAACCTCTAGGACGAGTCAGTAACCTCTAGGACTCGTCAGTAACCTCTAGGACGAGTCAGTAACCTCTAGGACTCGTCAGTAACCTCTAGGACGAGTTAAGAATATAACCTTACTCAGCTGAGTGGTAGCAAACACACCACGATATAGTTCATGAGCGGGAAATTAATTAAGCCTTCCACCTTTTTTATCCTGTCCTTTGAGGTGAGTATAAATGACAGACTTTCAAGCAAATACCGTATTGCTCGATGGCATGTTTCCATGTAAAATTCTTTTACCAGTTACAAACATACATGTTACAAGACAGCCAACGACATTCCATATTACTGTCGGTGTCTTGTCCAGATTAATACCCCGTTATCGGGAATATGTTGATATGTTTCTAAGTTAGAAAGTTCTTTAACAGACAAAAGAGTCATGTTATCAGTACACTGGTGAAAAAAACATTCAGAGAATCCTGTAGGCCAATCTAAACGATTTCTTTTGTTGACAAACAAGTGGAGCGTTGACAACTTAACACTGAAGAATAAAGTTTCTTGACGTCACATAGTACTACATATCCACGTTGAGAGGATGAAGATGACCGCGGACATTTGTACATATTCTTAAATGACCCTAAACGTCCAAAAGTCATTTAGTGTTGTAAGTGACCAGCAGTGGAAACCAACAAACGTTTCCGAAAAAAATACTGTATACTCAACTCGGAATCAAATCTACTAAATAACATGATTCGTATATTTATTTAATATTCTGATAAGAAAATAACGACACATACCATTTTTAAAACATTTTACTATCATATCACTGACACATAAATATTTTATTGATTTCTGTCAGCATTCCCAGGTAGTGTTTCTAAGCAAGTCCTTCGTAATAGTAAAACAGATCTAGCTTCCGGGCACAAATCTGTTGGTACCAACCTCCTGTAGGATGTCGAGTGTATGTGACATATAGTAAAATGTAGCTCCGTCCTGGGTGAACACTGTGTTGTATGTACATATCTAGATGACTGAATGTTCAAACACAATTGTCATATTGTCCTTTGCGTGTAGATGTATTGTAAAAATTGTGTTTGTCTTACCATCAATTCTGTTTTAACATCGTGTTCACAAAGACTGGAAATAAAAAAATAAAGAGGACTTAAGCTTTGTATGCCAATTACCTTATATTAATTAATTTGAATTATGTTTTTTAAAAAATACGTTAAAATTAATTTGGTCTCATCTTAAAGTGAATTCTATAGATAGACGTATGATAATTAATATCGATGATTAAAGTTAAAGTTAATTAATAGAAAAAAATGTACAAATACCTTCATAATCGATCTGATTGTCTCCATTTGTATCTGCCTCCTTTATCATTTCATCCACCTCCTCTTCTGTTAGCTTTTCCCCTAAACTGATCATAACGTGTCTCAATTCCGTAGCGCTGATAAAACCATTCCCGTCCTTGTCGAACACTTTGAAGGCCTCTCGAAGTTCTTCGTCGTCAGTGGAATCACGCAGTTGTCTCACCATCATTGATAAAAATTCTGGGAAATCTATTGTACCGTTACCTGAAACAGTTTAGGAAATGAGATCATGCTGACATTTTTGTTTAATAAAAAAAAAACAACAAAAAAACATTCTAGCGTCAGGTTATAGCTTCCCCAAATTTGGTACCTCAACTTTCTCATGATATCAGTTTTGAGAATGATAAACTGTTTTATGTTGTTACTCAAACTTAACGGAATCCTGTTACTTAAGCTATATAAAACCATTATTGTTATCCTATATCTTTCCTGTACTTTGTAAACAGATTTTATATCAATCTTAAAGTGTTAGATTTATCCACCTAAGACATCAGAATACAAGATATTATAAAACAATTTTCTGGAGAGGTGAATTCTTATCGACGTTAAGTTTCAAGTTTCGCCATTTCTTGAACAAATATATTAATATTTGCCAAGGCAACAATAAAGACTTGAATTCGATTTCAGTGCATTGTAGTCGATTTGAGACTTTGGAGGATCACGTGACCGGGGTTTGTACTGTGTTGTTGTTAAAAAATAGAAAATGTTTTCCGAAACAGCTTGAATATGAATACACAACGTCTTCATTTCATTTTATCAAAACAAGACCAAACAAAACAAAACAGTGTATGTTAAAAGTCTGCGGAGTTGTGATTTTACCTGTTTCTGAGGGTAAATGATACGGTAACTAACCTTCAGTATCGACCTCGTTAATCATGTCTCTGAGCTCTGATTCGGTCGGATGTTGACCTAACGACCTCATCACTGTTCCTAGTTCCTTAGCAGTTATGGTACCGTCGCCATCTTTGTCGAACAGGCTGAATGCCTCTTTGAATTCTTCCCGAAACAAACGACAGATATATATATATATAGATACAATCGTATAGTTCATGACTATCATTATGAAATAACATATTGTAATACTCTGCAGAAAGTACTTAACATAGCTATTTTTCTATTATTAAAAGAAACATCAGACAGGATTTTTCACATAAGTTTACAAATACGTACATACATCTTTCTACAGACAGACAAAGACTATATAGAATAACGAGAGATAAAATACAGATAAATAATTAGGTTTATTTAAAATAACTATAGATATACCACAGATAAATAATTAGGTTTATTTAAAATAACTATAGATAAATAATTAAATTTATTTACAATAACTATAGATATTCCACAGATAAATATTTAGATTTATTTACAATAACTATAGATATACCACAGATAAATATTTAGATTTATTTACAATAACTATAGATATACCACAGATAAATAATTAAATTTATTTACAATCATATAGATATTCCACAGATAAATATTTAGATTTATTTACAATAACTATAGATATACCACAGATAAATATTTAGATTTATTTACAATAACTATAGATATACCACAGATAAATATTTAGATTTATTTACAATAACTATAGATATACCACAGATAAATAATTAGGTTTATTTACAATCAATATATATTAGAAGTACATTTTATCTAAATAGTCTACATACTATCACCTCCATAAAATTGATGTTAAAAGACAGACCTAGAGATTCAATATCTCATCGCTGATCATTAAAAATCCTACTGTATTTTGTAGAACTGTGAGTTCAATATCTTCGACTTACTTATGTGCCGATAACCTGTCTGTATTCCTACATAGATAGTGAGTCATGACATCACACATGTCAAGTGTATCTCCAATCAGATTATCTAGATTTACGGATGATATATAATGAATATAAAAGTCAGAATATTTCAAGATTTATTTCATATTTTTTTGTCCAAATAACGTTTCATTTACCAGCTTTCAGTATAAGATACTGACCCCTATCATCAATAAACACACCAGTATAAGATACTGACCCCTATCATCAATAAACACACCAGTATAAGATACTGACCCCTATCATCAATAAACACACCAGTATAAGATACTGACCCCTATCATCAATAAATACACCAGTATAGGTATAAGATACTGACCCCTATCATCAATAAATACACCAGTATAAGATACTGACCCCTATCATCAATAAACACACCAGTATAAGATACTGACCCCTATCATCAATAAATACACCAGTATAAGATTCTGACCCCTCTCATCAATAAAGACACCAGTATAAGATACTGACCCCTATCATCAATAAATACACCAGTATAAGATACTGACCCCTATCATCAATAAAGACACCAGTATAGGTATAAGATACTGACCCCTATCATCAATAAACACACTAGTATAGGTATAAGATACTGACCCCTATCATCAATAAACACACCAGTATAAGATACTGACCCCTATCATCAATAAACACACCAGTATAAGATACACCAGTATAAGATACTGACCCCTATCATCAATAAAGACACCAGTATAGGATACTGACCCCTATCATCAATAAAGATACCAGTATAAAATACTGACCCCTATCATCAATAAACACACCAGTATGAGATACTGACCCCTATCATCAATAAACACACCAGTATAAGATACTGACCCCTATCATCAATAACCACACCATACTGACCCCTATCATCAATAAAGACACCAGTATAGTATAAGATACTGACCCCTATCATCAATAAACACACCAGTATAAGATACTGACCCCTATCATCAATAAACACACCAGTATAAGATACTGACCCCTATCATCAATAAACACACCAGTATAAGATACTGACCCCTATCATCAATAAACACACCAGTATAAGATACTGACCCCTATCATCAATAAAGACACCAGTATAAGATACTGACCCCTATCATCAATAAACACACCAGTATAAGATACTGACCCCTATCATCAATAAACACACCAGTATAAGATACTGACCCCTATCATCAATAACCACACCAGTATAAGATACTGACCCCTATCATCAATAAACACACCAGTATAAGATACTGACCCCTATCATCAATAAACACACCAGTATAAAATACTGACCCCTATCATCAATAAAGATATCATCAATAAACACACCAGTATAAGATACTGACCCCTATCATCAATAAAGACACCAGTATAGGTATAAGATACTGACCCCTATCATCAATAAACACACCAGTATAAGATACTGACCCCTATCATCAATAAACACACCAGTATAAGATACTGACCCCTATCATCAATAACCACACCAGTATAGGTATAAGATACTGACCCCTATCATCAATAAATACACCAGTATAGGTATAAGATACTGACCCCTATCATCAATAAATACACCAGTATAAGATACTGACCCCTATCATCAATAAAGACACCAGTATAGGTATAAGATACTGACCCCTATCATCAATAAACACACCAGTATAAGATACTGACCAGTATCATCAATAAAGACACCAGTATAGGTATAAGATACTGACCCCTATCATCAATAAATACACCAGTATAAGATACTGAGACCCTATATCATCATCAATAAAGACACCAGATACTGACCCCTATAGTATAAGATACTGACCCCTATCATCAATAAATACACCAGTATAAGATACTGACCCCTATCATCAATAAAGACACCAGTATAAGATACTGACCCCTATCATCAATAAAGACAGAAGTATGAGATACTGACCCCTATCATCAATAAATACACCAGTATAGGTATAAGATACTGACCCCTATCATCAATAAATACACCAGTATAAGATACTGACCCCTATCATCAATAAAGACACCAGTATAAGATACTGACCCCTATCATCAATAAATACACCAGTATAAGATACTGACCCCTCTCATCAATAAATACACCAGTATAAGATACTGACCCGTATCATCAATAAATACACCAGTATATGTATAAGATACTGACCCCTATCATCAATAAAGAGACACCAGTATAGGTATAAGATACTGACCCCTATCATCAATAAACACACCAGTATAAGATACTGACCCCTATCATCAATAAACACACCAGTATAAGATACTGACCCCTATCATCAATAAACACACCAGTATAAGATACTGACCCCTATCATCAATAAATACACCAGTATAAGATACTGACCCCTATCATCAATAAACACACCAGTATAAGATACTGACCCCTATCATCAATAAATACACCAGTATAAGATACTGACCCCTATCATCAATAAAGACACCAGTATAGTTATAAGATACTGACCCCTATCATCACTAAACACACCAGTATAGTTATAAGATACTGACCCCTATCATCAATAAATACACCAGTATAAGATACTGACCCCTATCATCAATAAATACACCAGTATAAGATACTGACCCCTATCATCAATAAACACACCAGTATAAGATACTGACCACTATCATCAATAAAGACACAAGTATAGGTATAAGATACTGACCCCTATCATCAATAAAGACACCAGTATAGGTATAAGATACTGACCCCTATCATCAATAAACACACCAGTATAAGATACTGACCCGTATCATCAATAAATACACCAGTATATGATACTGACCCGTATCATCAATAAAGACACCAGTATAGGTATAAGATACTGACCCCTATCATCAATAAATACACCAGTATAAGATACTGACCCCTATCATCAATAAAGACACCAGTATAAGATACTGACCCCTATCATCAATAAATACACCAGTATAAGATACTGACCCCTATCATCAATAAATACACCAGTATAAGATACTGACCCCTATCATCAATAAATACACCAGTATAAGATACTGACCCCTATCATCAATAAATACACCAGTATAAGATACTGACCCCTATCATCAATAAAGACACCAGTATAGATATAAGATACTGACCCCTATCATCAATAAATACACCAGTATAAGATACTGACCCCTATCATCAATAAACACACCAGTATAAGATACTGACCCCTATCATCAATAAAGACACCAGTATAAGATACTGACCCCTATCATCAATAAAGACACCAGTATAGGTATAAGATACTGACCCCTATCATCAATAAAGACACCAATATAAGATACTGACCCCTATCATCAAATACACCAGTATAAGATACTGACCCCTATCATCAATCATCAATAAAGACCCCTATCACAAATAAACACCAGTATAGGTATAAGACCCTTATCATACTGACCCCTATCATCAATAAAGACACCAGTATAGGTATAAGATACTGACCCCTATCATCAATAAACACACCAGTATAAGATACTGACCCCTATCATCAATAAACACACCAGTATACTGACCCCTATCATCAATATGACCCCTATCATCACACCAGTATAAGATACTGACCCCTATCATCAATAAAGACACCAGTATAAGATACTGACCCCTATCATCAATAAATACACCAGTATAAGATACTGACCCCTATCATCAATAAACACACCAGTATAAGATACTGACCCCTATCATCAATAAACACACCAGTATAAGATACTGACCCCTATCACGATAATCAATAAACACACCAGTATAAGATACTGACCCCTATCATCAATAAACACACCAGTATAAGATACTGACCCCTATCATCAATAAACACACCAGTATAAGATACTGACCCCTATCACCAATAAACACACCAGTATGAGATACTGACCCCTATCATCAATAAAGACTTAATCAATGGCTTCATTTTCAATGTTTAAGTTAATGTTTCTACTTGTCTGTTATTTTCCTACCTACCTGCAATCTGTTCTTCTGAAAGTTGTTCTACTGACTGCAAAATAAACCCAAGCATTGTTAATAAAGATTTCATGACATCAAGAGTTGGAGGAAACTTACTTATGTATACAATTTTCAACATATCAATAATTTATAGTATACAAAAAATACAAATCTTAATATGATATTAAATGTATCCTGAACTTTTATAGGACAAACTATCACAATTTTGCGTTATATTCATGTAGAAAGTATTGTTAGTTTTAAAGTTTTTGAACACAAGGGAATTATCATCTTGACGCGATGACAAAGATAATGTTGCGTCGATATTAAATCAAATTCGTTCTATCAGAACCAATCTTATAAAGCACCGCCAAAAATGCATGTCCATTGTGATGTCATATTAAATGCGTAATTTTATTATATAACATGCTGAAACGATGTTCTTTGCTCATTAAGAATGCCACTATATGTGGTGTGGTAGTAGCAAATGTTTGTCAATGGTGATTCATATAAGTGAAAGAATATTCTTGTTTATGTAACAAGCAATGATAGAATTAGAGGTTAACATAAATATATGTGTGTTTTAAGCTCATTAACAGTGACACTGTAACTTACTATGAAGGGGAACAATGGCAATAAAACATTAAAAGCAATCCTTGAAAATATCCATGGACAATCCCTAGGGATTTGATTTGATTTATAATTTCACTTTATAGAGAAAGTCCGGATGGTATAACGGCGGTCGGTATGTGTGTGAATACATATGATAAATGGCGCGTGGATATTCCGCGTGTTAGTATCAAGTCTTCAAGCGTTTCTTTACATATCTATCCTACTACACGCCTTTTTTTCTTATGACAACTTTGGTGATATAGGAATAAAAAGAAATAAAAATACATTGATCGGTAATATGTAACTTAAAAACTTACCATGATGAATTTGTGTTCTTGTCTTCTTTATATAAACTGTCTGAATTTATTTATAGCCATCGACTTAAGTCGTGAGTTTGTTGTTTAAATGATTGTAAATAAATCGTTCGTAACTTTGAACTGAACAGACAAAGGTTTCAGATTGATATCACTCCACATCGTTCTAATTGATGAGTTGTGTAAAGACAATTGTTGGCGGACAATGGTAACCACCGTCTGGTGTCCTTTTAAAGAATAGACTGAACATGCGTAGAGTACGTGTGAATGACTTTATTGTGTCACATGTATCCGCATTGCGGTACCTGTATACAATGGACCCAGTGTTATGCCTTTAAGGTTGGTTTACACATGGAAACTGGTGCAAGGGAGATAACCAATACGTTTGTACTGACTTGTTTTAACTGAGAAGTTATTACGGTGCATGTAGTTACGGGGAAATATTTTCTTGATATATTTTGTTCAGATAATAACAAATATTGAGACAGAACAAATCTATGGTTGAAACTTGTTATCTCGAACTTCTATAATTCGAAGACCCTGTATAACTCGAAGTGATTCGTCGGTCTCTATCAAACTTTACCCTAAATATTCGATCTTACTTAAATCAAATCCTTCGGAATAGCTTTATTTTTTCCTGACTTCGAGATAACAAGGTTGAACTGTATTTGTGAATAGTATACTACAAGTTGGAAAGGTAACTGGGACAAACAGTACAATATCAGTCAGGTAATATATCAATACACCTTGTATATACTTTCTTATTTAACGAACATGTTGAAAGAATGAATGCTTTCAATCTCGGTTCATTATCGAAATAAGGGAGATAACTTGTGCGATGTGTGTTAATTAGAAGATGCTTTTACCTCAACTGTATCTGAGCTTTTACATAAAACGACAAACTTGATTTATTACATATTACCAGAAACAATGAGATGGTCTGTGAATACAAGAAACAATGAGATGGTCTGTGAATACAAGAAACAATGGGATGGTTTGTGAATACCAGAAACTATGAGATGGTCTGTGAATACCAGAAACAATGAGATGGTCAGTGAATACAAGAAACAATGAGATGGTCAGTGAATACAAGAAACAATGGGATGGTTTGTGAATACAAGAAACAATGGGATGGTTTGTGAATACAAGAAACAATGGGATGGTTTGTGAATACAAGAAACAATGGGATGGTCTGTGAATACAAGAAACAATGGGATGGTTTGTGAATACCAGAAACTATGAGATGGTCTGTGAATACCAGAAACAATGAGGTGGTCTGTGAATACAAGAAACAATGAGATGGTCAGTGAATACAAGAAACAATGGGATGGTTTGTGAATACCAGAAACTATGAGATGGTCTGTGAATACCAGAAACAATGAGATGGTCAGTGAATACAAGAAACAATGGGATGGTCTGTGAATACCAGAAACAATGAGGTGGTCTGTGAATACAAGAAACAATGAGATGGTCAGTGAATACAAGAAACAATGGGATGGTTTGTGAATACCAGAAACTATGAGATGGTCTGTGAATACCAGAAACAATGAGGTGGTCTGTGAATACCAGAAACTATGAGATGGTCTGTGAATACAAGAAACAATGGGATGGTTTGTGAATACCAGAAACAATGAGATGGTCTTTGAATACCAGAAACAATGAGATGGTCTGTGAATACCAGACACAATGAGGTGGTCTGTGAATACAAGAAACAATGGGATGGTTTGTGAATACCAGAAACAATGAGATTGATCCTAACAAACAAATGTTCGTTGGATGCGTATTACTGGAATAGATATATGATCAATGAAGTAATAGCAACAGTAAGGACAAATCAATTGCTAAATTTTCGTGGTAACTTGCCCCTTTATCAAGACACAATACACTATTATCTGTGTATGGTGTTTAGATGTGTTGCTCTGCGGGTCTAATGCTAATGTTGTTGTTCTGGTTATGTGAAAGCTTTTGTTTATTGTCATTGTTGTAAATATCTGTTTATTATTCTGAATAACTTTACAGAGCTAATGTTTACTGTTTTTGATATACGCCTTACAAATAAACATTCTTGAATCTCGTATTTTATAATCTTGTTATGAACAAGAAACTTCGACAAAGTGTTGATCGACCTGTGTCGGCTGAAATGCTTTGCGTGGTACTTGAAATAAGGCTTTGGTTGTCAAAACAATGTTTTTGGGAATTTAGAGTTGATTGAGAGAAGGATAATTGAAAGTAGATTTTCATCACGCGTATCACAGTGTCGTGAAAAGCTGTCCATGATATTTAATTCTTGGTAAAATTCGAGATAAGTGACTTACGTATAATGTGTAAAGGTAGTGTAGTTTAACTTCCATTTCTCATTTCCGTTTTCTCATTTAAGTACATGTCATGTTACATAGAAAAAAAACATATACAAGCAATGTGTGTTGTTCAATCTTATATTTTTCAAAAATTTAAATAATACATGATGAAATGTAAATGGTTACATTTTGATAAACTCGTTGATAAATTCACCCTCGTTTCAAAACAGAGAAAAAAGAGTCCAGGTAAGTAAGCTTCTACAGAAACACCAAAAGTCTAGAAGATGTTGGCACCAAAACTGACAAAGAGAATACCGCCATGTTGACAAAAACTCAAACCGATGGAATGAGAAGAAATATTAAACAAAAAAAGATTGACATTTTTCCTGAAAACAATATTTAAGTTTTTGTCGTCGTCATGAAAGCGAGTGGTTCTGCTTACTTTATCGTCAGTACATATTATCTGATCATTTCACGCACATGTTTTATAAATGACGGACAGTAGCAATACATACATTTTTCACTTTACAGTAGAAAAATCTGCAAGAAACATTCCATTCACAAGGGGAGTAATGAATTAAATTGGAAAGGGTTTTATGAGTCAGATATTTAATTTTAAACATCTAAAAGTGTTACATCCTTCAACGACAAAAGTCTGTATGTTTGAGTCTTATACTGGTGTGGATAATGGCGTCTTTCACCGCCGTCTGATGTTAGAAAGAGCATAACACTTTCTAAAATCTAATTAGAATATACACTTTAAGTCATCGCCGGTGAAACAAACAGAAAATTACACTTTGAATAAAGTTCATGGAGTAAAACTCAAAATCTAAACCATCTCTGTTTTGTAACAACTAAAACGAGTTATTTCACCCTATGATAAGTCCTAACAAGTCTTTATAAGTTCCTAACTCCTACAGCAACGTCCACGATTGTGTATAAGGACAGGACATTTTTGTTCTAAGATATCAGGAATATTTTATCATTAAACAGTGTTAAAATCAACTGCGTGTTATTGACGTGTCTAACGGTGCATACAGCTGTCATATTTAATCGCCAGTCGATTTCAATGTAAACGTGTCAACAGAAGGATAGCGGATTATTGAAAGCAGGACATGGCCATATATGCTTAATTTAACTTTTTGGTGACAAAAGTGGTAAAATGAATAGCAAGCGCCCCAGGACGTGTCACTAAGTTTGATCTCATTTCACATTAAATAAGTTTCGACAAAACATTAGAGGCTACGGTTGAATAACACGACCGCGTGAGCGTGCCCTAGGGACGGGATCAAGTAGATCCCTGGTCAGCGTATCACTCCATGTCTGGTCAGCCATGTACAACATTAATATGGACAGGAGAAACACCATAAATCTCTAATTATGTCCTCGATTCTTTTTTTCCGGGTTTAATGATAACGTATTGTGTTTTTTGGTAGAAATGAAGAAGTTTTATTTTAATCTGCCGGTGACATCTTGACGTTCTTTGTTGGGAATCTTAATCAATTGCTATCGTATTTGATACTGGCAGTGTAATGGTGTAAGTCCGGGTGGCAGGGTTAGACCAAGTCATCTGTGGAAAATTAATTAAACGAGAATTAATTGACAAAATTAGCTTAAGTGGAGACAAAAGTAGGTAACGATGTAAAAATGCTTACTATTGAGTTATCACGCTGCTTCTACAAAGTCTACTCCTCTTGTACAAGTAATTACATATACGAAATGTCTGTACTTACAAGATACGGAGAAAGCCATAACGCCGTCTTTGTAGGGGTAAGGAAGGTTACTTGAATTGTGGTTACAAGTCATAAGTTATGACAGTTCGCCAAACCAGTATGTGTTGTTCCACAATATTTGTCACTGGTATTGCTATGAAGCTATTTTTAAAATAATATTTTAGAAAAAAACTGTCATTGAGCCACACCGTGTTTCTATTTATTCAGATAGGCTATGTGTAACTGTCACACCATCTTTTCTACATATAATGTTTTGCAATCATACATTTGGGCCACGTTCTCGTTCAATAGGTAAAGAGATATGTGGTGACTACAAGTGCAGGCAAAGACTTAATTGAACTGTTAGGAATCGGACATTTGTAACAGGAACAAAAATTGTCAGGACAGTTTCTTTGAGCAAGAACAAAATTAACATAATGTACATTTTTAAAGTTTTTTAATAATACATGAACAGAAGAAGACAACAAAGATATATATGACATTTTTCCTTGTTTATTTTGCCTTTTTTAATTAAACAGGATATTTTTAAAACATCAATCATTGGTTATTTATTGTCAGTTCCATTACTTAAATGATAATATATATTTAAGGAAAATTATGTTGTCAAGTTTTCCTATCAATCACCTGCAATCTATAGCCTTTAGTTAAAGTATTCGTTTAGTCGTGGTATTTAATGGAAAGTAGTCTCATTAAGTGGCAAGCCGCCGACTGACAGCGAATGAAAAGACAAGTGTGATTTACTTTGATGAACAGCCTGTATAAACGTTTTATACGTTTTCACGGGCGCTGTCCACGGGCGACTATCTCTGGGTCATCACGGGTTGTGCCCTGGTCAGGTCGCTTGACCTATCGATAAGTATCGCAACATGTGTTTTTTTACAATGCTATCACATTTGCCTTTAACAGCTACACAGAAATCAATTCCCTATTTTAGCTTTTGACACAGTACAACAACTTCCTTCATATCTTTTACATCGGGGCAGCGTAGATAATTATGTTCAGGTCTGAAATTATAACTGATGGAAACTGTCACAATAATCTCGACAGTTTGTCGTTTATTGTACGGGACGATGTGAAATGCCACGGGTAGACCGCTGTGTGCAGAATCAAAATGTGCGTTTCTGGTTTGATAACTCTGTCAACATCAGAATATCAATATCAGACCGAAATTATAA